CAAAAGTTATGGCGAAGGTTAAAGTTTTTTAAAAGTAAGTAAAACATCAAGGTCAAGGTCAAAGTTTTTGGTATCCAAAGGAAGGTCTAGTCACAAGGATTACATATGTAAAGTATGAAAGCCCTAGCACCAACCATTCAGAAGTTATGGCCAAGGTTACAGTTTTTCGAAAGTAGGTCAAACTCCTATGTCAAGGTCAAAGTTGTTGGTATCCAAAGGAAGGTGATGTCACAAGGATTACATATATGAAGTATGAAAGCCCTAGCACCTACCATTCAAAAATTATGGCCAAGAATAAAGTTTTTCAAAAGTAGGTCAAACTCCTATGTCTAGGTCAAAGGGTCAAAGTGGTTGGTTTCCAAAAGAAGGTGATGTCGCAAGGATTACATAAGTGAAGTATGAAAGCCCTAGCATCAACTATTCAAAAGTTATGGCCAAGGTTAAAGTTTTTCAAAAGTAGGTCAAACTCCTAGGTCAAGGTCAAAAGGTCAAGGTGTTTGGTATCCAAAGGAGGCCTTGTCACAAAGAATACACATGTGAAGTTTGAAACCCCAAGCACCAACTGTTCAGAAGTTATGACCAACGTTAAAGTCTCACGAAATTTTGCAAAAGTGGGTCAAACTCCAAGGTCAAAGTCAAAAGGTCAAATATGATGGTACCCAAAGTAAAGGTCTTGTCACAAGGAATACACATGTGAAATATGAGTCATAGCTCCAACCAATCAAAAGTTATGGGCAAGGTTAAAGTTGACAACAGACAGACAGACAAACAGATAAACAGACAGACAGGACAAAAACAATATACCCCCGGGATCTTTCGATCCTGGTGCATAATTATCAAATCTCAAAAAATTTTCAGGAATTGCAAATAAAAGCCCCCACTGTGCATTTTTTTCTAGTTGAAATTTGCTCAACAAAATATATAAATGATGAGAAACTATAAGTATCCAGGCAATTGGAGGAAATTGCATGTTTTTTAATACTTATATGGTATTTCAATTCTTCTATTTACTTCAATTTTTATATAATTCATAGTGTAAAAAAGCTTGTGCTTTCATTGCAAGACCTCACAGATCACTTCCAATATCATTATAATAAGCATCGATATATTAATTAAGGCAAGATTAATGGAATTTGATTTTGCTACAAAGTATTTTACAAATGTCAACTTTTTAAAAGTCCATTTCTAAGACTTCAGAGAACCATGAATCATATTGAAATTCATGAAATGAAAATGGAAGCATGAAAATATTTCAATTTCAAGCTTCATTTTGAGACATTTGAATTTTTTTGAGTTATTGTTCCTGGCTGAGGAGCAGATTTGTGAAAAAATTAAAAGAGGTGAAAAGATTTCTAATTGTTCACGGACAATCAATCTTATAGTTAGTATCATTTTTCAAATGCATAATTTTGAATTTCAAGATTTATTGAAAAGATTTATAGTCCATAAGATTTTTGCAGTTGAATGTGCATATTTGAACTTTGACCCTTCAAGGAGTTATTACCACTTTCTGAATGAAAGCTTGTTATTGTTTCTTCTTTCAAACCATAAAAATAAAGACAACAGAGGTCCAAGGGCCTTAATGGTCACCTGAGTATAAAACATCAATCCATAGAGGATCCATGAAATATAAATTGAATGCTGCAAAAAACTTGTGATTTTTCTTCCATACTTATTAATTACTTATCTAGTTACTTTTCACACTGGCCTCTCGTGGCCCTTGAAGAACATTTAAAAAGATAAGTTATTTTTGTCTCATTTTTATTCATCTATTATTTCCAAGTCTACCTGATCATTAAAATGATTATGAAAGTACTTTTTGTATTATACAATAAATATTTTTGCATAATTTTCTTATTCTATTAACCTTTCAAATACATTATTTACAGTGATTTATTATCAAAGGTGAATAGCATAAGGGAGTAACTTTACTTAGCAGAACCCCTGACCCTGGGGCCATGAAATTCACAACTTTGGAAGAGGCACTCTTCCTCATCATAACTGTGTACTTAGTTTATTTAATACCCAGGAGCAGAGTAGAAGATTTTCAAACAAATAATGCACTTTCACTATATGATCTATATAGCCCCACCCTAGCACCAGAACCTCTGACCCTGGGGCCATGAATTTCACAACTTTGGTAGTGGGCTCAATGCTTATTACAATCATGCCAACAGTTTGACTGCTTGATGTCTAGGAGTAAAGAAGAAGATTTTTAAAGATAGCATTAATTTCGATGGTTTTAGGCCCCAGGGGGACAGGGACCATAAAATTTTCGTTTCCCTTCACCCCTAGATGCTATATGCCAAATTTGGTTGAAATTGGTTATAATGCACATTGCACGATGCACGATGACAGACAAAAACGGATAGTAATAGGTCATGAGTGACTCAGGTGACCTAAAAATCCAGGTTATACAATATAAATTTTTTATCCAATCAAATGATGTGTTTCAACCAAAATTAAATTATATTGAAATGACTTATCGTGATTTTGTTGTTTTTGAGAAGAATTTTAAATGATCTTTCCTATTAATTCCTAACTAAAAAACTTTTGATCATCTGTTGTGCCCCTTCCTACTTCAGGGGGTCAAGATATGAACAAATTTGAATTAATATTACCCAAAGATGCTTGCATATAAATAAGACAGATCATGGCTTTGCTATTCTTGAGACGAAGATCGTTAATAAAAGATTTTTTCATATGTATTCATCTGTAAATCTTTGATCATCCATTGTGGCCCCACTCTATCCCCAGAGTCATGAATTGAACAAACAGCAAAAGGTCATCTGAGGGACTCAGGTGACCTAAAAATCATAAATAATGTCTTCAGCTAATTTAGTAGCTAGACCCTCCAATCTGAATTGTCAGGTTTCAAGGGGCTTTCATATTTCACCGGTGTATTACACGCCCGCGTGGCGCAGTGGTTAGAGCGTCTGCTGTAGAGTTGCAGAGTAAGAAGTTGATCCTTATGTTGTGGGTTCAAATCCCACTACGGGATGTGGAGACTGGTCCTTCGGATGAGACCCTATAAACCGAGGTCCCATGTCGCAGTAGGTGCTGGCATGAAAAAGATCCCTCACTGCCCAGTGGCCCTGAGTGCCGAGCATAGGTCAAAATTTGTAGCCCTCCACCGGCAAGTGGGGGTGTCTCATTATGAGTGAAAAATTCTCGAGATGGACATTAAACAAAAAAAACAATCAATCAGTCACCTGTGTATTCCTTCCCTTGTGACAAGATGTTGCTTTTGGTACCAACATCTTTGACCTGATCATACATGATCAAGAAATTAAGCCATGCGAAGCACTAGAACACTTGATCCAGTGGTCCAGAATTCTACAAAACTTGTAAAAATACCCTAGCTCATTAAAACATTAAACATGTTTGGATGCAAATCACTTTGAAGAATATTAAGCATTTTCAAAATACAATCAATGGAGAGCTCCCTCAACTTGTCCTCTTATCAGAGTCATGAAATTCACTATTTTGGACGAAGCATCCTTCTCATAATAACCATACAGTTAGTTTGTTTACTAAATACACAGGATCATAGAATAAAGATTTTTCAAAGAATTTATTTTCACCACATGATCAATAGAGCCCCTGCCTAACAACAGACTAGAGAAGAAGATTTTCAAGGAAAAAATGCAGATTTACTTAATTATGAAAAAAGCACTGCCCTAAGACCAGACTCCTGACCCAGGGGACATGGAAGAGTACCCTTCATCATTATTACCTTGCATTTAGTTTATTCACTTAATACCCAGGAGCAGAGAAGAAGATTTTTGGAGAAATAATGCATTTTCACTATATAATAAATAGAGCCCCATCCTAACTCCAGAACCCCTGACCCACTATGAGATTATTGTGCATGATTCTGACAATTTTTAAAATATGTGCATGCACATGCTTTGAAATTTGTTTTGCTTATACTCTTTTTGCTTTACAAATGCTGTTATAACAAGAGGCCCACCGGCCTTATAGGTCACCTGAGTATCATGCAACAACTTTCCAACAATTGAATTTGGTTTATGTTTTAAACCATAGGCCAGGAAATTCACAATTCTGAAAGAGGCACCATTGCTCATCATAAATGTTTGATTAATACCAGGGAGCAGACTTCAAAGCATTAATTCATTTTCAGTATAAATTAATCATTAGAGTCCCCCACTGTACCCCTGACCCATGGGGCCTTGAAATTCACAATTCTGAACAAAGAACCCTTGCTCATCATAACTATGTACTTAGATCATCAGCATAAGACCCAGGGGTAGAGAAGAAAGTTTTCAAAGAATTACTGCATTTTCACTATAAAATCAATAGAGTCCCACCCTAACATCTGAACTTCTTACCCAGGGGCTATAAAATTCACAATTTTGGAGGAGACACCCTTCCTCATCACAACAATGCATTAAGTTTGTTTGTTAAATACCCAGGAGCAGAGAAGAAGCTTTTAAAAGAAATAATGCACTTTCACTATATGAACTATATAGCCCAGCTCTAGCACCAGAACCCTGACCTGGGGGCCATGAATTTCACATTTTGGTAGAGGACTCAATGCTTATTACAATCATGCCAACAGTCATAATGACTGCTTGATGTCCAGAAGTAAAGAAGAAGATTTTTAGAGATAGCACTAATTTGATGGTTTTAGCCCCACCCCTCAGACCCCAGGGGGGCAGGGACCATGAAATTCACAAAATTTGTTCACCTTCACTTATAGATAAAATTGGCTGAAATTGGTTCAGCATTTTCAGAGTGTTCAATTCTTTACAATCGACACATGGATTTAAATGGTATTGGCCATATTTGAGAAACATGTAAAACAATAGCTGTAACATTCAGCGTATTAACAACGACGGATGAAAACATATAGCAATAGGTCACCTGAGTAACTCAGGAGACCTAAAAATACTTTAAAAGATTAATTTGAAGTTTACAATACAAAAACTTTGTCCTGTTTATTGATACATATAGGATATTAGGCACCTAAAGGGAGTATGGGGACTTTATGGGAACAATTGACACAGGATGTTATTATTAAAACAAGTTTTAATTATTCCTACTTTATTATCATATGAAATAAAAAGACATAAAACAAGATATTTCCCAGAAGTTTTACCAAAGGGAAAAGACCTGATAATCAAATTGTTTACAAATTACACAGATAGAAATGCTATATTAGTTTAAAGGTAATTCTGTAAATTACAAAAAGGTATATGAACAACATTAATATTTCAGACCAATTCCCAGAAGAATAACTTTAGAAGAAAGGCAAAAGTATTTCAACTCCTAGATGGAACACTGTATTACCTTCACAAGAAGCATTCTTCAGTAAGAGTTGTGAGATTTGAAGAAAAGGCTGCCATCCTTAAAGCATGTCATACCACTGCTACTGCTAGACATCAGGGAGTGAACAGGACTGCCACAAAAATAAGAGAAAGATACTGGTGGGTAGGCATGCAGCAGGACATTGTTGAATATGTGGACACCTGTGAGAAGTGTCAACGACAGAACCAGCTGAGAAAAACACCATCAGTTCTTCATCCTATACCAGTCCATGATGGTCCCTTTTCGATGGTTGGACTAGATTTGGTTGGGCCCCTTCAGGAGACTACCAGTGGAAACAAATATATTGCTGTCCTCACTGATTACTTGACAAAATGGCCAGAAGTCAAAGCTATACCTTCAAAACATGCAGACGTTATTTGTGATTTCATTATTGAAGTAATTTGCAGACATGGAGCACCAAAGACCATCCTTACAGATAGGGGCAGGGAGTTCTGCAATTCTCTTAATGACAAGTTGTGCCAATCAATGGGGATCCAGCACAGAGTTTCAGCCCCCTACCATCCACAAACCAATGGACTGACTGAAAGATTTAATCAAACTCTTTGCAGTGCACTCACAAAATATGTAAGTGAAAAGCAGGATGACTGGGACCAGTACCTACAACAAGTTGCATTTGCTGCGCGCACTTGTCAGCAGAAGTCCACAAAAGAATCCCCCTTCTATTTAATCTATGGGAGAAAAGTAGTCCTGCCAATTCAATTAGATATTCCCACAACAGTGCCTAATATGCAGAGACAGCAAACAGAAGAAGAGTTTGATGAAATCTACAGTGACAGGATAACTTCATTTGTTGAACTTCTAAAGGCCCATGATGCAGCTAAAGACAACATCAGCATTGAACAGAAGAAACAGAAGACATACTATGATAGAAAACATGGAACTGCCGATCTTCTTCAACCTGGCCAGAGAGTACTCCTGAGGAACTCTAAAAGGATCAATCGGAAAGGTGACAAAATGCTCCACAGGTGGACTGGTCCCTATACTATTTCTACATGCATTGGAGAAGGGGTATACAAGCTGGTGGAAAGAAAAGAAATAGCCAACATTAAAAGCATCAAGTTGTACAGAGAGAATTTGACTGTAACAACAGAAAATCAGAAATCTCAGTCTAGAAGAAAAACTAAGCAGAGTGCCACCTCAAAGAAAAGAGTAAGTGGTCTCCAAAGATGCCGAAGAAGAAAAAGAGAACAGAAGAAAGCATTTAAGCCTACCTGTTCAACAGTGGTAATGAGGAGGAGAAGCAGTCGAAACAGTGCTGTATCCCAACCAAAGACGGAGTTTACAGCACCTACTGTGAAGGGCCAAGGAAAGTGTACTTCAATTTCACAGATTAGCAAAAGGAAGATTAAAGGAAGGTCCAATAAATCAAAGCTGAAAACTCTGCAAAAGGGACGTTCATGCCATGTACATCCTAATAGAAGACTAAGAGTATCTGAGGTTTCCAACTCACCCAAAGTTTCCAAGTCATCTAGTCGAACCCTGAAGAAAAGGAAAGGATCTACAATTGAAGAAAAACCATCCAAGAGGGTCAAGGGAATAGAGAAAACAAAATTACAACCATCACAGAATGTATACCTGAGGAGTTACTCATCAGATGACATCATATCAATTGTCAGACATTGTTCAAAGTACAGCCTTGCAGATACTGCACCTAGATCACCACCTGTTTCCTTGTATCTTGCTTGCCAAAGAGAGAGTAAAGATGACCTAAATCAGTGTGTAAATGATCTTATGGAAGTTATTTCTGGAGCACACAGTCAGGACATGTCTCTTCAGGAATCCTCTGAGACTGCCCCTGGACTTATGCTTGCTGCTGCCATTTTCATCCAGTCCTACAAAATCCTAATACCAGCTCAGAAATTTCTTCCAACCCTTGATAGTGTTCCACTGGGTAATTCCACCTCATCTTGCAAGAGACCAAAGGGACAAATCAATCGTCTTAGAGTTGGTGGAATTGTTTTAAATGAAGCTGATATTAGCACTCTGGACTCCACAAATTGGCTGAATGACAAGGTATTATAACTATCAATTCACATGTTTAAATTATATACAACTGCAATGAAACAGAAAAATAGAAACAGAAAATGGCATTGAGTAAATAATTACTATTTGTACTTTTATCAATTAAACCCCAATTCTTAAAAAAATGTAAGTAAAAACAATCTGAAATTCTTAAATTACTTTTTCAACATTAATGCAAATGTATAGGAGATATATAGTAGATAGATAAAAAGCACAAAAATAGTGCATATATTTATAGTATTTTCATTTTTACATTACAGATCATACATTCATATCTTGGATTGTTGAGCTGGCAATGTAATTCTAAAGAACCCCAGTCAGCATACGTGCTATCCTGCTTTGTGGCTACAAAATGGGAAAACGGAGACTACTCATCCTGGTTGTTCCCGAAGGTAATATAAGAATTTTAAACAATACATTTAGAATATGAACACAAACATTTACAGTAATCTTAAAAGGATATGGGATGTAAAGAAACACACATGCACACATGCACACACAGGTGTAATATATGTAATTAATCATACACCAACTCGTCATTAATCTTTGGACACTTGCTGTTGATCACAATGTTTCTAATTGCATTTTATTATTTTACATTTACATTTTTATGTTAAATATCTTTACTAAATGGAGCTTAAAATATTTACATTTTCAACTGTTTTCTCTGTGATAACTCTTTGAAAGTTAAGTGTGTTGATATCTCAATATTAACTACATTTTGTCAATTAAGTGAAAGGTCAAGTTTTTCACAGAATTATAAGACAAACTGCATGACCTATACAAATTGGAAGTTAATTTTTGGATATGATACATTATTGAATTTTTATGTACAAATATGCTGAATCAGCCCTACTATGCGTATCAAACTGTCACAACTACTTCGTAAATATTTTTAGAAGAAGCCTTAGTTAATGATACACATTTTTTATTTCAATATAGGTTCCTCTTCAGTCTTCACACCTATGACATTATTTTGTTGCCTGTGTGCCATCATGACCACTGGTTTCTAATGGTTGGCTATCCAAAATTCGAAACTCTGCTGATTTTGGATTCTCTGCCCAAGAAGCAAAGAGAAAAAAAAATTGCCAAACACTGGAGGTAAATATTTTTATATACTCTGCAAATTCTTTCTCCCTCATATTAAATGTAAAATTAGAGGTTTTGCATTCAAATTATTCAAGAATTCCAAAGCATAAATCTTAAATTTAAAAAGATTTCTCCTTTATTTCCAGATGCTTTATGGAAACCCGATTTCAAGCTGAGCCTGCAACTCCTCTATCATGGACTCTTGGCCCCATTAAGTCCTCAGTTCAAAAAGATGGACATTCCTGTGGAGTTTTTGTGCTAATGGTAAGAAATCAAGAAAATTGTCTACTATCTCTCCACTGCAGCTAACAAAAGTAAATGATTGTATATAATAATGTCAAAAGAATTTAAATACATGTAAGAACAATTTGTTCACTAAATGTAAAAAAGCAGAAAGCAATTATTTCTTGTTTTAAATTAGTTACTTATGCAAATAGCATTTCAGAACTTTCATTAATCAACAAGGTATCTTATACAGTCATTTTAAATGATTTGTAGAATTCAGCAGCCATTTTATCCTACATCTCCCCCCAAGTCATGCGGCTGTGTCATGTTGAGGCCTACAGAGCTTATGTTCGTGAGGAGCTTCTCACTCATGGGAAATTAGACAAAAGGAGCCTCGCATGCGACCTTCCATTCTGTACAGCAAGCTACAAGAAGCAAATCCAGTGCTACTCTTGTTTAAGATGGTGTCACCATGCCTGCCTTGGCACCAGAGAAAAAGACTTTGTGGAGACGTGTATTTATTGTGCATAGGACAGTCTTGTGATTGAGTAGAAAGACGTTAGAGAAAAGATTATTTTTTTTAATGTTTGGGATGTTTATATTTATTTATTTAACTATTACAGTGTACCAGCCATAAATTAATTTATAATGAAATGGAATTTGTCTTTTCTTATATATGTTATGTCCAAGAATGGTAAAATTGAAAGAAACAAAAGGATGAACAGTATATATCAGCCAACCACCATTTATCTGACCATTAAAATCTGGCTAGATTCAATAGTTCATCCCATAGGGTGTAACTGGAATATTTGGTGTTTTATGAAGGGAGAAAGCTACATTAAACGGAAATGAGTACCTAAAGAAGTCTAATTGGGGTACAATATTTACCAGCCATATTATTTTGAACCCCTCTTTTTGACCACTGAAGTTAAAAAAGGGGGAGGGGGTGTCAGAATTCTGCAACCATAAAATCTTGAACCCCCATCCCTAATGAAAAATTAAAATGTAAGTGGGAAGGTCAATATTTTAAAGCCATTGTATCTTGAAATCAGTTTCCACGAACCTTTAAGTGGGGTCAATATTTTACAGCCATGATATTTAAAACCCAACTCCTCAAAAGTGTAATAGAAATTCAATATTTTTGCAATCATAATGACTTGAAATTATAAAACTCCCCATGAAAACACACACACACACACACACACACACACACACGTACAACAGGGTCCTCAATATGTTGTGGTAATATCTTAAACCCCCTCCCTCTTAAATTGAAAGGGCAAGGGACTCAATATTTTATGGTCATAATATCTTGAACCCCCCTCCCTCTTAAATCAAAAGGGTAGGGGACTCAATATTTTATGGTCATAAAATCTTGAACCCCTCTCCCTCTTAAATTATAAGGGTAGGGGGACTCAATATTTTATGGTCATAATATCTTGAATCCCCTCTCTCTTAAATTGAAAGGGTAGGGGACCCAATATTTTATGGTCATAATATCTTGATCCCCCTCCCTCTTAAATTGACAGGGTATATAAGGGACTCAATATTTTATGGCCATATCATGAACCCCCTTCTTAGATTAAAAGGGTAGGGGGACTCGATATCTTGAACCCCCTCCCTCTTAAATTGAAAGGGTATATAGGGGACTCAATATTTTATGGTCATAATATCTTGATCCCCCTCCCTCTTAAATGAAAGGGTATATAGGGGACTCGATATTTTATGGTCATAATATCTTGAACCCCCCTCCCTCTTAAATTGAAAGGGTAGGGGACTCAATATTTTATGGTCATAATATCTTGAACCCCCCTTCCTCTTAAATAAAAAGGGTAGGGGACTCGATATTTTATGGTCATAATATCTTGAACCCCCTCCCTCTTAAATTGAAAAGGTAGGGGACTCAATATTTTATGGTCATAATATCTTGAACCCCCCTCCCTCTTAAATTGAAAGGGTAGGGGACTCGATATTTTATGGTCATAATATCTTGAACCCCCTCCCTCTTAAATAAAAAGGGTAGGGGGACTCAATATTTTATGGTCATAATATCTTGAACCCTCTTCCTCCTAAATTATTAGGGTAGAAGGACTCAATATTTTATGGTCATAATATCTTGAACTCCCTCCCTCTTAAATAAAAAGGGTAGGGGACTCAATATTTTATGGTCATAATATCTTGAACCCCCTTCCTCTTAAATTATAAGGGTAGGGGGACTCAATATTTTATGGTCATAATATCTTGAAACCCCTTCCTCTTAAATTGAAAAGGTAGGGGACTCAATATTTTATGGTCATAATATCTTGAACCCCCCTCCCTCTCAAATAAAAAGGGTAGGGGACTCAATATTTTATGGTCATAATATCTTGAACCCACCGGGTTCAATATTTTATAAGGGGGTTCATTATATCGCAGCGAAAAAATGTACCCGGGTTCAAAATATTATGCGATATATTGAACCCGGGTTCAATATATCGCGGTATCAAAATATTATGCTACACCGGTCCTTAAAGCTCGTTTACTTTGTACGGCGTATTAGTCCCCTACCGGTGAAACCGGAGGGGACTAAAGGTTTCCTCTGAGTCTGTCCGTCCGTCTGTCTAGCTGTCGGTCCGTCTGTCTGTCTGTCCCTCTGTCTGTCTGTCAGTTTGTCCCATTTGGTTTTCCGCACTTTTTTCCTAAACGCTTGCAGATATTGAGCTGATTTTTGGTATGTGAGTGTATCTTGATGAGTTACAGATCAAGTTTGCATTTCGTTCCGCTTCATTGAATTACGACCTCTTCAATTTTTAAGAGTTTTCCGCAATTTTCTTCTAAACGCTGGCAGATATTGAGCTGATTTTTGGTATGTGAGTGTATCTTGATGAGTTACAGATCAATTTTGTATTTTGTTCCGCTTCATTGATTTTTGAATTACAACCTCTTCAATTTTTTGAAGAGTTTTCCGCAATTTTCTTCTAAACGCTGGCAGATATTTAGCTGATTTTTGGTTCGTGACTTTACCTTGACGAGTTATAGATCAAGTTTGCATTTCGTTCCACTTTATTGATTTTTGACGAAATTATGGTATTTTCAATTTTTAACGGGAACCAGATTACACTTGCCGGTAGGGGGACTAGTATTGCTTATGCAATACTCTCAGAATGCTTGTTTATCTCGAATTCAGATCTTAGAAACTAGAGATTGAGCCGTCACCAGATCCTCAAGGCCAACATATAAAGTTACATCTGTTTTACAGTTTAAAGCGGTCCATCTGAGCCAATGGCTCAAGTGAGCTTTTCTGACCGTAAAGTGTGCGGCGTCCTTCTGATTGTATATCCATATGTTTGTAGTGTTTCGTCTTTATAATTATAATTCACATATTTGACTTCTTATTTAGAACAACTGCGTGCGCCAAATTCATCCAAAATTGCCATGAATATTCCTTGAATTTTATTCAATAAATGCTGTGCCCTTCTTCATGGAGAGGTAATTAAAAAAATAGTGAAAATTTGGTGGGGCCATTTAAAAGTCTTCTTACCACCACCGTGGAGCCACGATAGGAAACAGAGGTTTTAGTAGAGAACAATACATATGAAACCGCGACTGGCAAAAGGGGGTCGGATGCGGTAAAAACGTAACAGAGAAAAAAAAGTCACAAATCCACGTGTTGTTATTTTTACTTTTATTAACTTTTTTATGCCTCCGGATCGAAAGATCCCGGGGGTATATTGTTTCTGTCATCTCTGTCTGTTTGTCCGTTTGTCCGTCTGTCTGTATCTTGCCAACTTTAACCTTGTCCATAACTTTTGATTGGTTGGAGCTATGACTTTCATATTTCACATGTGTATTCCTTGTGACAAGACCTTTCTTTGGGTACCATCATATTTGACCTTTTGACCTTGGAGTTTGACCCACTTTTGCAAAATTTTATGAGACTTTAACCTTTGCCATAACTTCTGAACAGTTGGTGCTTGGGGTTTCAAACTTCATATGTGTGTTCTTTGTGACAAGGCCTTCCTTTGGATACCAACAATTTAACCTTTTGACCTTGACCTTTGAGTTTGACCTACTTTTGAAAAACTTTAACCTTAGCCATAACTTTTGAATTGTTGATGCTAGGGCTTTCATACTTGACACATATAATCCTTGTGGATCACCTTCCTTTGGATACCAACCACTTTGACCTTGACATAGGAGTTTGACCTACTTTTGAAAAACTTTAACCTTGGCCATGACTTTTGAATGGTTGGTGCTAGGGCTTTCATTCTTCACATATGTAATCCTTGTGACAAGACCATCCTTTGGATACCAACCACTTTGACCCTTTGACCTTGACATAGGAGTTTAACCTACTTTCGAAAAATTTTAACCTTGGTCAGAACTTTTGAATGGTTGGTGCTAGGGCTTTCATACTTCACATATGTAATCCTTTTGACGAGACTTTTCTTTGGATACCAACCACTTTGACCTTGACCTTGACGTTTTACTTACTTTAAAAAAACTTTAACCTTCGCCATAACTTTTGAACAGTTGCAGCTAGGTCTTTCAAATTTCACAGGTATATTCCTCGAGACAAGACCTTTGGGTACCAATTTTTTTTATCTTTTGGCCTGGACTTTGACTTGCATTTGAGAAACTTTAACCTTCGCCATAAGCTGCCATACGGGGGCATCAGTGTTTCACAAATACATCTTGTTTCATTTTGTAAAATAAAAAAAAAATACATGTTCTCTTTTGATCTTTGGTGAATTATTGATTAAAATGCGTAGTTTTGTAGTGTTATTCGTATAATTTACACAATACAACGATTATTTTATCACGTTTGTCAAATAACTGGTCTCGACATGTAGTGTAGCGGCTCAGAGCAAAATTTCACCCGAATATTTCACTTGTGGAGACAGGCATGAAATTTGGCACAATTATCTGTCAGATGATACTGTTCCTAAAATCATCATTGGTCATCGCAGTTTTCAAGACGACTGCCGCTGAAACAAAATGGCGATATTTCTATACTACTTGGACTTACACTGATCGACTTCTGTAATATTTCAGGCCCGTAGAACGCGGGATTAGGGCTACCCCCACTTTTTTCTGAGTATATTATTTTGCTTAAGTAAATTTTCCTGTAGATGCTGGTTGCACCCCCTTTTTGATTTGTAAGGTCGGAGACTGGCAAAATGGACAGTAAATTGCCTTTTTTGCTTGTCAAATAATTTTAGGACTTTGTCCAACCCCCCAACCCCCCCAACACTTTGATAAGTTTAGTTTTGCTTTTTTTAGGGCCCCGCTCTGCGGGCGCCCTATAGTGATCAGTCTGTCCGTCCGTCCGTCCGTCCGTCCGAGATCTGTCCGGAGCATACCTTCTCTATCCTGGGCCCAATCTGGCTCGTACTTCACCCACAGAGTGCCTTTGAGTAAAGGGTGTGCAGTGACCTTGAACCATGTTTCTAGGTCTAAAGTTAAGGTCATAGCAGAATTAAATGAAAAATCCTCGTCCGGAGAATATCTTCTCTCCCCTTTGTCCAATGTGGCTAATACTTCACTCACAGAGTGACACTGGTCAATGGATGTGCAGTAACTTTGAACGAAGTTTCT